CCCCCCCCCCCCCCCCCCCCCTCCCCTATTATTGACCAGAGCTATTTCTCTTCAATCAATCGATCTACTCTTTGCTGTAAATCAATTCTCCCGACATGTAAACAGGCAGCAGCTGCTATTTATATAGGCATTGATCTCTAAAGGCCGTATTACTGTATTACAGACTGTATGCAGCAGAGGACCATCACAGGAGACAACTTATGAGCATCATCTTTTTAAAACATTGTCCCACAAAGACTGCACCAACAAACACATTTTAATAATAAGAAAGCCACCAAATGGAACCGGAGTTAAGATTCTAGCATCAGTAAGATTACTGCCCATTCTATTACCTGGTGTTTACGTTTATAATGTGGCTTTTAGCGCACCGGGGAATCTTAAAATGAGCCGGCACTTTAACATTTTCTCAGCCAACAATATAGCTCAAATGAAAAAAAAACCAAATGTAATCAATGCACACAGTTAACAGCTGTATCTTTCCTGCGTCTCTCCCTATATAACCATCTGCCCTTGAGAGTGTGTGTGTGTAGGAAGGTGTGATCTCAAGCAGCTTTGCTGGTCACACATGCCTACACACACCTACACACACACACACACACCTACAACACTTACAAAACAAAACATTGCTTGCGTAACGAGGCCAGCTGTTCTTGCAGTGGACGCCGTATACGAGCTTTTGTTTTGTTTTACTGACTTTCTCCCCCCGCTAATTGGCACGTGTGTGTGTCACACACATGCTGCTGTCCATGGTTGCGTAACACAGATGCATCAACCGTACGGTACACCTACTGCTGAGCCGCTTCGAAAAGTCGTGTAACACTGAAGAGTTTCGTTCCAAACAACCTCAGAGAAAAAGGCAATCATCCCCACAGAGCTGAGCACTTTAATGGTATTCCGTCATAGGTTTGGCTTTTAATTTGCATGAATGATTTTGTGGGTGTGGTTTGTATTTTATGAGAGAGACTTGCAGCTTATTTATGTTTTCTATGAATCTATCAAAGAATAATAATAAGGAAAGAAAGAGAAAATACAGGCAGAGGGCAGATTCTCTGTAGACACACTTCTAGAGGATCATATGTGATGATCGAGAGGCATTCTTTTTGTACGAGTCGTGTGTTTTTAAGGAAAATGCTGCATATTATACCCGTTTCAGTGTCCATATACTTTTTCAGCTCCGTTTCCTCCGTCGAGACAACAACGTCATTTGTTTCGCCTTTTAAAATAAGATTTTCTGATCTGCAACTGCTATGGTTTGAATTCGGTTCTGGGCAAAATGAGAGACGGTGGTTCGTACGTTGTATTGACCGAGGACTCGCGTCCTACCGTGGGCACTGAAGTGGGCGGTCGATGGATGAGAGTGTCCTTAATGTCGGCCCGTGCGTCCTCAGAGGTTCACTCGAGTGCCCTTGCACATGATACATCAGCCCCAACAGCTTCAGGGACGCTGTTCAGTCTCCATTAGCTGACTGAGTTCCCTGGAGGGAGGACAGAGAGGGAAGAGTGTCACGTTAGTTCAAATCAGAGTCAGTCTCATCCTGACAGCTGGAGAATTTTAGCTGGTAATATTCAGCACTCGAACAGCGGCGTTGTGAACCACTGAAGCAACTTTTGTTGCTTTTTAAACTCTGTTTTCCATCCTGCATTGTGTAAAGTAACTTGCATGAGTTTGCTTTCTTCTTCGGTGGTTTTTTGTTGTTTAACCGCTGACACATTTTATTGTTTGGCGTTTGGACCCTGACAGTTTGCAAAGCTTTGGGTTTCTTAATGTTTCATTCAGACATTTAAACCATTTTTACCGTGGGGTTAATGGACAGTTCTTACTATTGATGCCACTAACTGTGGCACACTGCTGCTCAGACTGTGTCTAAAACTATTTAATGAATCACTCGGTTAATTCATTCCCCACTGGAGGAGCTTTGAGTTTAAAACCTCTGTGCTCAAGTACCACTTCTATATCTCACTCCTGTTTCAGAGCTCTCACTATTGGTTTCTTTGTGGAGTTTTCTGTGTAAACAAATTTAAAACACATCTTTAAAATCGTAGTTTGGGCGACTTCCATGTTCAAGGTTTTCAGAATGATCTGATATAAACAATGATTTGTTAATAATTGTCCAATCTCGAGTTCAAAGTACTCCACCAGTTTAGCGGCTCACTTCCATAATGTCTGACTCACGATGGACAGTTTAAAAACAACATTACCCACAATGCAGCTGGACTGCCAACACTTTGGTCGGCGATTTGGTTGAATGCTTGAACTTGAAGAAATATATCTAATCTAATCCCGGTTTCGACTTCTACACTTCTCCTTCTCATACAGTCCAGTGTGTTAGCGTCTCAGTCGCAGTGACAGACACAATGATTGTGTGTGTGTGTGTGTGTGTGTGTGTGTGAGAACAGCATGTGGCTTCATTAGCAGCTCTGTGTTTGCGCTGTGTGAGCACCGCCTGGTTGTAGAGGCTAACAGGATGTGTTGCTGTGTCTCTTTGAGGTTACCACCTGTTCTCCTCACTTGGTCCTTGTGTTCTCATGGAAACCAATATGGTGAAGAGCCGGGGCCAATCGGACACACACACACACACACACAATGGTCTCTTTGTCTTTTCCGTTTCCTGCGTTGTGTCCGTCTCTCGCTTGCTTTTGACCTCCGAATCGTTCCCCTTTTAATATTCGGTCTCTTGAGGTCGTTCAAAGCACGACTGCTGCGTTACCCGACTTCAAATGGCAGATGACTCAAATGTTCCTGATCTGTGCTCCACAGCGGTATTTAGAGCTTCAATACAGGTGGAGGGAATCACCTTTTTTACCTCTTTCTATGCTGTAAATCCGTTTTACTGCCTTTTTCTTCGGTCCTTCTTTCATAGTTTATTTGATCGTTTATTGTTTTGTCTCCTTTTTGTCTTCTTTCTGCTCATTTTTCCACAGTAAGGACTTTGTCTAACATAATTATGTACCCTTTAATAACAACATTCATAAAGTGATAAGATAACCTCACCTCAAGGTCCAGTAAGCAGCTGTTCTGGAGCTTTCGATCGGTCTTCCTCAGCAGATGTATATTTTCTGAGTCGTCATAGAAAACACGTTTAAATTCTCATGTTTTAAATCCTTGACATGATCCGGGAAAAACATTTTTTTTTTAAAATTCAAGCTTTTACACTTCCATGATACCGGAGACGAGCCGAGGAAGCTCATGCGATATGATCAAAAGCTCCAGATCAGCCACTAAATGGACCTTGAGATGCGATTGTTTCGTCAGCTGGTGTTCCCAAAGTGAAGAATCACGTTTGAATACTGAGACTCAAACTCTGCTTTTGACAGAGCCAGGCTAGCTGTTTCCCCCCATTTCCAGTCTTTATGCTAAGCTAACTGGCTACATGTTTAGCGTTCTCATCGAACTTTGAGAGAAAATAAACAATTAAAAAAAGGGTATTTCCCAAATTGTCAAACAATTTTTTCAATGATAAAAAAATCAATAAAACCAAAAGATCAAAGACCAAATCTTAATCTCTCACTCTTTTCTCTCTAGGAGGCCCTTTGTCTCCCCTCTCTGAACCATCTCTCCCCATCGACGGCTCTTTTGTTTCCTCCCCCCTCCCCCGTCCCACGCCCCATTAGCCTTCCCAGTGATTAAACGCTCTCGTTGATCAAAGGGGAAATCGCAGACATACACTCAATAATTGATGCTCTTAAAATGGATTATCGTTTGACTTCACCACCTGTGACTGGTCTCCCTTTCCATTTCTCCTCTTCTAAATTCCCTCTGCACTCTCCAGCTTCATTTGCTACATAATCTTTTTTAATGGGCGAATAAATCACTAGGTGGCAGCATAGCAGCACATGGTGCATACGTTGACAGAGCAGGAGACATATATATATATATATGAAGGCACTGCTGAGAGTTAAAGACACAGCACTGAGGGGGACAAGCTTGATTCCGGATCAGTGACTTTGTGGAATAACTGCAGCACCATTCATCTTTTCACTTATCTTCTCAGCTCCTCTAATTAGCCGATCGATAAGCCCCTCCCTCCGGGGTCGATTCCAGATCAACTGAAATGATGTTCCCCTGACCCATTAGCGACCTTTTACAACCTTTTAAGAAGCTCAATCGGCGCTTTTGCCAAGTCTGCAAACCTCCAGTGTCTCGCGGTTAATGAGGTCACTCCCAAAAGAATTAAGAGTCCAGCTGAAGTCACATTTAGTTAAATCTTATTGTAGTGTTTTTAAATGTATTGTTGGTAGTGTTTTATTATCAGAAAGGAAAGTGGGTGTGTCTTTTGTTGGAGCCTGGTGGGTGGTGAGGTATTTTCTTTATTTTTTTTGTGCCAAGCTAAAATAGCTAGCTGATAGCATTAGCTTCATATTGACTACATCAACACGTTCTCACTCCAATCTCTTCAAATTATGACACTCTAGTGTTCCCTCTAGCTTCCGTTTTGGACGTGTCGGTTTCCACTCGTTGCGGTCAGTGTCCTCTCAAAATAAACTTCACAGGAAATTAAGAAACCGAAACCACTTAGGTTTAGAAACAAAGGGCGTGGTTGATGTTAACTTGACTGACTTAACGAGTCACGTGACTAACGAGCAACAAACCATTCGCGTGATTAGCTAGCAACAAACGTGTCACGTGACTAGCAAGTGACGAACGAGTCGCGTGACTAACGAGCCGCCAACAAGTCGCGTGACTAGCGAGCCGCCGAGCCGCGTGACTAGCGGGCCACCAACGAGCCGCGTGACTAGCTGGCCACCGAGTCTAGTAGAAAACTAGCTGAATGACTAAAATCGTTTAATTTAAAGAACTACAGAATGTGTATTTTTCCTTGAAAGAAAAGCAGCAGGAAGACGTGTATGAATTAAAAAAAATAAGCTATTTCTGCAAGCTGCACGTTATTAAATAGCTAACTATGGTGAGAGATTAGCACAGGACGCACGACAGCATGTTCGTATTTGCATGTTGATAACGACGGTGCAGAGAGCTGCTCTCGGTTTGATACGTAACACGGAGCCGTTAATTATCTCTTTGTTATCCATTTCTTTTATTGCTCGGTTGTGATTGCAGCTCCCGGACGAGGACGAGAGGAAATCTGACAACCTGTGAGCGGCTCCCTGGGAGAGCGAGGAGGAGGAGGAGGAGGAGGAGTGTTCAGCTTCTAGCTTCTGTTATCTTTCCTCCCTTTTGCAGATTTGAGGAATACTGGGATTTCATTCAGGGCAAAAAGAAATTAAAAGAAAAACACCTCTTGTTGAGGTGCAAAAATCATCTCTCCATCTAGAAAACCATTGATAGAAAAGTAACATAATAAAACGCACCATAAAAGAGTATATAAAAGGTATTTTTCATGCAAAATAAAGCCAAATATTCTATTATTCCTGCTCCTTTTCTTTTATATCATCGTAAATAGAATATATATTTGGGTTTGTGAACAAAACAAGATTTATTAAGAAAAATGATCACATTAATAACAAAAAATAACCTTAATTTGCAGTTGTAAGTGTGTTCTGCCTGGATGCAGACTCCCTCCTCGGTCAGCCTCCTCGCTCCCTCTGCTCTCCATCCTTTTAACCCTTCCTTCCCACTGTTGTCAAGGGCAACCACTGGGGAGGAAAAAAAAGAGAGAGATGAATACAGTAACTGTCACCTGATCAGTGGAGGGAATCCAGCAGGTGTGTGTGTGTGTGTGTGTGTTACGACCCGACACACACACACACACACACACACACACAATGAAGTGACTGCTGGCAGCTAATTCGGCATGAATATTTAATCAACTGTAAACAAATTACTATTGTACTGAGCGGTGCCAGTGTGTGTCTGTGTCTCTCTCTCTCTCTTTCCTATCAATGTGGATGTCTCTCTCCCTTTCTCATGCACGCTCTCTCTCTCTCTCTCTCTCTCTCTCTCTGTGTCTTTCTATCTCTCTCTGTCTCTCTCCCCCCCTCCCTCTCTCTGTCTCTCTCTCTCTTTCTATCTATCTATCTCTCTCTCTCTCTCTTTCGTTTAAGTGTCGGGATTAAAAATGAAATATTGAGATATGATAATCATGTAAATAATCCAGTGGCTCTCGAATCATTTTATTTACAGTTTTGTTACAGTATTTTGAGTGTAATTTATTTGCCAAAAAAGTAGACAAAACACACAACAAACAAAGTTAAAGATGAATTTTACTTTTGTTTCCTATAGATTAGGTTTTCGACTAAATCAATTATTAGACGATTTGTTTGTTTAATTGACAGACGTGTAAAACTGAGTTTCTCCAGAAATAATCACACAAAAGCACCAGTTTAAGTCTTGTGTTGAGCAGAGATGTGCGAGATAAGTTTCTAGGAAATATCAGCATCAAAAATCTGATATGGTGACAGCCTGTCTGTGAGAGCCTGTCTGAACAGATGTTTGAAATCCAGCTGTTACTGCCTGCAAGAGCAATGCTGTGTCGCTGGAGTTTGAGTCTGCAGCAGAGCTTCCTGTGCTGTTTGTATCCCTCTCATGCAAAATATAAAACTATAAAAAGACACCAGATTTGAATATATATATATATAGCAAACCTTTGATCTTAATCTATTTATTTAGATTTATTTATTTATTTCAACACCGTGCCAAATTACATTTCAATTGTATGTGCAATATTATTTTCTATTATATGTGCAATATTTTCTACTTCTGTTCAATATCAATTAATGTTTACTTTATTTAATAACCTTACTCTTATTGCAATTATATTTTGCACAGGTGTCAGTATTACTTCTTTTACACTTAATTAATAACTTATTCTATTGTTCATATGTTTATATTTTATTCTATTGTTTTTTTTGTTATTCTTCTGTTGTCTTTATTCAAACTCTGACCCATTATTTCGAGATTTTTTAATTCATTTATTATGATTTATTAAGACAATGTGGTTTAGTGTGTTCACTTATTATGTCTTGTTGTGCTTGTAGGTATCAGTCTCACCGGCAGGAGGGTGTAGATGTACCCAAAGCACTTTGAAAACTTAAGAAAAACATCTTAATCTGAACTTTTCTCTCTTATTTTTCAGCTCTCAGAATTTTCTTATTTATTATAAATGGAATCTCCAAACTTGTCCTCGCTCTACCTCGTGCATCTGTTGGCGTCTCGTCGTTGATTGGTGTTTCTGTGTTACGTTAAAGCCGTGTTTTCTCCTCCCGCGCTCTTACGCATGCGCGCGTTCTCTGCTCTCCGTTTAACCTCGGAGCGGCGATATTCGAGGCGACAACGCGGCGTTCAAATCTCTCTCTCTCTCTTTCTCTCTCTATTTATCTCTCTCTCCTCGCCCCCTGCTACCTCCCTCCCTCCCTCCCTCCCTCCCTCGTCTTCCTACCTGATTCAGATCCGCTCCGACGCTATGCGTACCGACCGCGTCTCTCTCTGCAAGGCGAGCACCACTGGAGAGAGAGACCCGCACGCTGCTGCTGCTGCTGCTGCCGACTGTGAGCACCTAAACGCCTGCCGGAAGAGCGACCCAGGCCGGGCAACAGGAGCGGGGAGACACTGCCGCTGATTCACCTCCGTCGGAGGACGACATTTACGCGCGGAGGTATATAATAAGCACATTATTTGTATTTGTATCGACACACGAGAGCACAGTGGTGGAGGTGGTGGTGGTGGTGGTGGGGTGTTTATTTGTGCAGAGGAGGTGGCCGCGCGCGGTGACGGTGGCCGTCCGGGTCGCTGGTGGATGTTATCGCGTTTGTGACAGCTGAGCCGACTGAGTCCGTTTGACGAATGCGCACGAGCCGCGGTGAATATTGCCGTTTGTTTCGCAATAAACAGCGACACGGACGGAATGAATGATGAAGGGGGGGGAGAGGAGAGGGGGGGCGCACGACAGCCTGTTGTGCATCCATCCGTTTGTTTGGTATTAAAACATGTTTTAAGACATTAAACCCCCCCCAAAAAAAGCTCCCTTTGCATGCAGCGGTTCTATTCCGGTCTTATTCTTATTTTTCAACATTTATGTGCTCAAGTTTGGTGTCAAACGGGGGCGGCAGAGAAGTGAGCTGCACACACACAAGCAAGCACCCGCTACATCCATTCACTTTGCCGAATGAAAATCAATATATGATACTTAAGGGGCGTGCAAGAGCGCGCGCGTCAAGCAGCGCGAGCTGGTCACATATATTGCGCGTTGCAAGACAGGATAGTCTTCCTGTAATGAGCCGCATCATCATCATCATCCTTCCGTTGTCAGCATCATGTTTCACATTCATCTTCATCATCATCACGGTTTTGCTGTTTAAAAGAAACCCACACATGCAAGCTGCTGAACTGTGAAATCTCTTAAGTTATTTTCTCACAAATAGAGGAAGAAGTGGAAGAGGAACCCGAGCGAATTGCGATGGAGGAGAAGGAGAAGTTAATGATAGAGTTGGGGAAAGTGAAGTTAAGGGAGCTGCCAATCAAAAACGAAAAGAAAAAAAATAACATCTTTTCTCTCCTGATCAATAATTCAGTCCTCCATCTTTTCCAGAGTTTGGCCTCCCCTCCCCCCCCCTCTCCGGATAGAGAGATCGGCGAGAGGACGAGTGCGGCGTCCCGGAGCCTGACGCCCCCTTTGTCATCCTCTTCCTCCACTCAGCCAAAAAAAACTCTTCTTCTTCTTCTTCTCTCCTCTCTCTCTCTTTCGTCCTCGCCATGGCCTTCAAACTGAACCCCAACGTCCTGTACGTGGCGGAGCACAGCGAGTCCCTGGGGTCGCCCCAAGCCAACTCTGAAAGGACCCACATTGTAAGTACTCGGGTCTCTCTGTGTGTGGCTGATTCTCTTTTGTGAAATAATGCAGATAATAGGGCACGAGTTTAAAAACAACTTCATGCTGCCAGTTTGCCTTTTGCATAAACTTGCATGTTAAGCTTAAGAATTAGAAAAAAGCCTTAATGCTGAATAAAATCACTATTTTGTTGCATTTTTAAACTGTTTTAACTTCTTATTTTGCATCCTGAGATGATTTTTTTCAAATTTTTGTAACTTCTTAATGTGAGTTGGGGTTAAATCACCACTGGGAATCTAAATCTCCAACACTTATGGCCCAACTAGTAACGTCAATTATAACTTCTTGAGGCCTAGAACTGTGCAAGACTGCTTTTCCAATCCCACGCCTTGGGTGCATGCTGAAAAAGCTCTTATGTATTTCTGCTGCAAAAAACCCAACAACTTGCGGAAATAAGTCTTATAATAAGTCGTATAATGCAAATGCACAAACAGCCTCATCCAACGGCTCCATCACCGTCAAAGTAAGCCGTCCAAAGCACACAGGAAGTGATGAGTTCGGAGCGTAACCCTCGCGTTCGTGCGCCGAGAATGAACCAGAAGTCGGGGGAGACTCGGTAAATGTGTGAACTCGCATGTTGGTCAAGAATCTGTCGCGCTGCATTTCTACGTTCCGTCCAGTGGGAGTTGTGAGTAACATGCAGGTGCAAAATGGCCGAGACAGCTGATTGAAGACGTTTATTGATTCCCGATTCTCCTCGGAGAAGCAGAGCTTTAGCCTCCACTGGTGACACAGAGGTCATGTCGTGTCTGTGGCATTTTTTATTGTTTTAATGAATAAAGAGACCTTAAGTGCTGTTTACGTTTTATAATTTAAAGTTACACATAAGGCATCAATATGTTTTATTTAAAAAAAATAATTTATACATTTTATGGAAAACAAGAAGAAGAAATACAGGAATAATTAGAACAATTCATCTCCGGTGGAGTCGAGAACAATCTGAGAAAAGCAGAACTCTCGGACAGATGAAACATGAACAAAAGCTTAAAGAATTAAACACGCAAAAATATTAAAATTTATTTAAACATTTTTTATGGTTGCTGCTTGAGGTTTGAAGTAGTTTTATTGACTGTAGCGGAAAGTCCGAATCTCACAACAAACCAGATCTCAGGAAGTTTTTCAGTATTTCTGCGTCACAAAACGTCACGTTCAGATTTTTAAGTTTAGCTCGTCATTGGCTTTTTTTCTCTCTCTCTAACAGGAAGTAGTTAAAAATCAGTAAACTTGATAGCAGCAGTTCACTGAACAGATGCAGCGGGAAGCGGATTGAGCCGCTGCCCTTCAACCAAATCACATGGAAATTATGCAAGAAATAAGAGTTTCTTCTAAATCAGTGGCTGAACCTTTCCTCTACATTTTAAAAGGAGGACAATTTGGTCCCGTATGTCCTCTCACATGAGTTCTGGATGGTCAGGAACTCACTATTCAGTACATTTGTGCCTCCACAAATTGTTTGTTAGTAATATCTGGCAATTTTCCCACACAAAATGTCCAGCAATTTTTCCGTCTTCTTCTTCTTCCAGGCTGGAGAAGCTGGAGAAGAGTCATCGGACAGCGACGGGGAACAAGAGGAGACGTCGCACAAGTTGATCCGCAAGGTGTCGACCTCGGGTCAGATAAGGGCCAAGGTAGGAGAAGAGATTAAGATTAAAGCCTCGCCGGTGTTTCTATCCGAGGTGTGTTTTATTCCAGATGTTTGGTGTTTTTAAACTTCTTTAGAGAGCTTTTTGTCTTCTCCGAGGTAGAGAAGCAACATTATAGCAAACCAGGGAGGGATCTTAACTTGGAGAAAGTCGTGGAATTTTTCCATCAGGGCCACGCCGGGAACCCTGATTAAACATTTAACCGCTTATTTATTCAGGAGGTGATATTAAGATTTAAACATCTCACTGAGGAGTGGATGAGAAGCCATTTGAAGGACTTTTGCTTCATGTGAAGTCTCTTTTTAAGAGGATGTACCTTGTTTGCTGCATCGGTTTATCTGTCTTTTCTGTGTGTTCGATTCTCTCTCTCTCTCTCTCTCCCTCTCTCTCTCTCTCTCTCTCGTGTCACTTTTATCAGACTTTTATCTTCATCCGATGCATCTGCGTTGGCTCGTGCTCACGTGACTTCCTGCTCACTTCCTGTCTACATTGAGTTCAAATCTCTGATAGCCGGTCTGACGTAATCACATATTAACATCTCGCTCTCTCTCTCTCTTACTGGACTTCTTACTGGCTTACTGGCCTCCGGACTGTGTGCTTTACAGGAAGATATCGATGGTCTGATATCGGCCTCTTACCGGCAAACACGCACAAACACACCCACGTCTGCCTCATTAGTTATTGATGAGCTAACATCTGCAATGAGAGAAGCATTATTATCAATGCAAACACACAGAAGACAACAGTCTCATTTACTATCATACGTGTGTGTGTGGGTGTGTTGAAATTGTTGTCCATTACCCGCATTGACCGCAAATCATGCACCGATCAATAGGAAACACAGGATACCCGGTAACCCCTTGTTGCCCAGGGACGGCATCCCATAATGCCACGTTTTGTTCCTGGAGCAGATAATGGTATTGGATATCAGTTTGGTATTGATTGGCTAATATCGTCCGGACACCGCTGTAATGGGGTGTAGAGGTTGATGTGCACGCCCGTATATGGGCATAATTCGCCATGGTTTCAGGGTCTCGGGGCAGGAAGTAGGGAAAGGATTTTTTTTTTTTTGTGTGTAACCTGTCTAGTTTTATTATCTGTGTTTATATTAAATCACCCAGTAGAAAATAATAGATACAAAATAAATCAGTAGTATTTGAAAAAATGTATTTATTACATTTAGTTGTGTTTATATATATTTTAGGGTTGAAGTTTAACAGTTTTTACGAAATGTGTAAAATCATGAGGGAAAAGAAAATTGAAAATTTCCATTAACTTCATCACATTTACAATAAAATCAATTTACATTAAAAATATATAATGACAACTACAACAGAAAGTTTACAGTTGTGTTTATGGATTGTTGAAAATGTCGTGTAAAGGGAATTTTCATTTGTATAAATAAGTATCGTTAACGTCAACATCAAACATGACACAAAAACTACAGCGGCAAATATGTCGTGTTATTTTTAAATTAAATAAAATCATGTGGGAGATGGACTCTCTGGGATTGTTTCTCTTTATTTGTGACAGCACAGTTTTTATGAGAGTCCATGACATCATCACGCAGCTCCTCTCCCATTAGCTGAAATAGGACTCGCCATCTGTCAGTCAAACTTGACAATGCTGTGATTAGTTCTTTGTGTGTCTATGCTTATATATGTATATATATATACAGTATATGTATATATGTATATGTATATATGTGTGTGTGTGTGTGTGTGTGTGTTGACTAGATTGTGTGCACCTGCAGTCATGTGAATTAGATTAAGCTAGTAAACTATCGCCTCCAGGATCACGCTGTCGTGACAACAATGTCCTGAGTGGATTAGTGTGTTTGTGTGTCTCTTTTGTTTGTTTTGGTACACGTGGGGGGAGCATCGGTGTGTGTGTGTGTGTGTGTGTGTTTATTGGATTTGTTGATCATAAAACTTGCTGTGTCATGGTTAAGCCTTCAGGAAAGGACATTAAAATCGGCTGCAAGTTTTGTCGCTGTCGTTTTATAGTCTGTAATCACAAGTGAATGTGACCTCGGTGTTTTGCTAATTGACTGACACTATAAGCTTCAGCCTCTATTGACTGGATTGGACTTTAAGACTGACGGGGATTGATTTGCCGTGTGTTCTTGTTTCGATATCTTTTGTGAGAATCAGTTTGAGCTTTTGGCCCTGAGGTCTAAAACCGTGGGTAACTATTTTTTTGTCTTGTACCAGCCTGTTGTTGCAGAGTTTATAAGAACTCGACCCCACCCGTCTTCCAGAGAAAATAAGACGCATTTTAATAAAGCCCTTTTGTCTCATTTTTGGTGAAACTTAAGGTGCTCTTAGGGCGTCACAGTGGTGTCCGTGCTAAGATGTGTGCCTCATAAACCGCAATGTCCCCAGTTCGAGTCTTTCATGCGTGTCATTTCCTTTCACATTTCCTGTCCGCCTCTCAACTACATTCTGTTGATGTATTATAACAATCAAAGGCAAAAAAAAAAATGCAAAGTGACATACAAAGAAATGCTCATATTAATGATTAAAAACATTTAGAATGCCTTTTTAGAATAAAGAGAGCAACCAGATGCTGTGAGATCCGATTTCAGATCAACAGTTTCATTGTTCATAGATCACCTCAGAATAAGGAAGTCTGTTTCTAATTTTAGCTATTCACGATGTTGCCAATCTGAGAAGTGAAAGAGAAAAACAAGACTTAATTTCGTACCATATGTACTGCTTGGTTTACTGTTAGGCCTGATATTAATAGCCTGCACTCAAGCCTTCTGTACTTACTGTAATAGTTTAGGGTCTAAATTTAGTCAATGCAAGGTCCTCATAAGGTTAGAAGGTTGCTTTTGTGCCAACAAGTGCCCATTGCTATAAATATATAAAAACATGTAGCTCTACAGCACATATAGAAGCATTACATCCAAATATATGAGGCTTTATAGTCGTAGAACACAGCATAATTCACAGTCCAGTTTAGGTAATCAATACAGTGATGCATCAGATATTGAATAATAGGCCTCGTTTTGAGCGTATTAATCTATTCTCGGACAAATACTTACCATCAATTAATCGCGAAAGCATTTGCACATGAAATCGATGACGTTTAAAGCCATTGACTTGGAAATCAGATGAATTGGTCTACAGAACAGAGCAGGGAGTGTTTTTACTGTATCTCAGTTAGCACACCATGCTACGTAGCATTAGCTTATCTCAATCACACATTCACTGCTATCCACGCAACTATCCACTGTGCAATGTTGGTTATATTGTGAGTTAAAAATGTGGTAGTTGGTAATCTACTGTAGCTGGCCAGCTAACCGCTAACGCGCTAGCCAGGGGGAACACGGATGCGCTAGTCAGTCACAAAACCTCTTTAAACTTCTTTCTATTTTCCTTGTACTGCGTAGTTACTCCCGCTTGGCATTTTGTTCTCAGTATTGTACGTCATTTAATTCAATAAAGAGTCACAGAAGAGGGGAAAACTCTTACATTTAGCAGTTAACTGCTAGCCAGCTTGCTAAGTTGCATGCTGTCAAAATGCTTCATCGTAACTTACAGAAATAAAGTTAGCCTAAAACTGACGTTTAGACAAAATGCTCGCTGCACACGTAACGTCGGGCATCAGGATCCTGCTGAAGCATCGCGTCTTATTGCCTGTATCCTCAGCTTTTTTTTTTTTTAGTTCTGGGTTCTTTCCCCTGTTGGTAGTGCGTCCCACCACACACACAGTTTTTAGGCATTTTTAAATGTCGTTTGATACAAAAGTCAATGGAGAGCGACTTAATTTGTCTCTTTTAAAACATTTAAAGTAACTCCCATTTGTTGAGCAGTTTATAGTTTGACAGAGGAGGTTTGAAATTGACATGTGATGCTAAATTTGAGAAACAAAAATGAACGTCTTTAAGTTTTGTTCATGAACTTTTTGTGAAGACCCCGTGACCTCTTGTCTTACTTTCCTTTTGTCTTTCTTTCTCTTCGTCTCTCCACCTCCAGGCTCCGTTACATAAGCTTTCACACTCTTTCTTCCTCTCCCCCCCCCATCCTTCTCTTCACCATCTCCTCCTCCTCCTCCTCCTGTTTCTCTTGCTCTCATTTACTGTGTGGAAAATAAAGGAGAAACAGGAAGAACATGAGGCGGAAGAGCAAACAGCTCCTGTAAATTGTGTGCGATTATGATTTGTGGGTTGAGTCGGCCGATTGGGTAACACTGTAATGGACAACAGTGACTCCCCTGTTGTCATATTATGCTGTATTATTATTTTTAATCTTCGGAGCATCTGCACCTTAATTGTCTTTTTTTTTTTACTTTTCTCTGCTTCCCAAACAAACCTTTTAAAATAGCAGCACCACCTCAGCTTATGTAACTTTTATATATATATATATATATATATTTCAGGTGTTTTGAGTGGTGACCAACAGGTAACGCCCCCCCCTTCTATTCCTGTGAATTTCCTGCACGATGCACTGGAATCAAACCCCCGCTATATTTGTTCTTTTTTATCTGCATCTCGCTCCCAGTGCAGAAATCTGTGTGGGTGTTCACGGCAATGGAGATGAGGAGTTATAGTGTGTGTGTGTGTGTGTGTGTGTGTGTGTGGGACGGTAAAACTGAAATGGCTTGAGGAGGGTGCAGGAGTGTGTGGGATGCCCAGTGTTACTGGGCATAAGTGTGTGTGTGTGTGTGCGCGCTCTTTGATTTATGCCCTTGGCTTGATGTGATACAGCTGCTGTAGTGGAGGGAGAGAGAGAGAGAGAGAGAGAGAGAGGGAGAGAGAGAGAGAGAGAGAGAGTTATATAAGAAGTGCACACAGCGAGCAGCAGGCTGTAATACCCATATTTACCGTCACAACAGGTTGACTGTAGAGGAGGCGGCCCGACTATTTAAGATGTGTTGTTCAGTCGCTGCTACAAAGATTGCATAAAACGTTCCGTTTGTGTCCTTCAGGCTGAACAATGCAGCTCAATAAAACCTTAGAGGAGCCATTTTTAACAATC